CTCCATCAATAGTATCGAAGGGATTGCGCTGGATATAAATGAATGGAGGAATGAAGTGTGAGCTCTATGTGACACACGATGATGTTGAAGTAGAAAGTCCTTTTCATGAATTAGGTGCATTGAAAAAATAGTTCTAGACCTTAAATTAAAAAAAAAAAAAAAAAAAACCAATCAGCGAATGGTCGATGGGCGCTGTAGTATCCATTTTAGGCTGGATCGACTTTGGAGCCAAGGTCAGTTTTCAACCTAAGACCTTCAGACTGACAAGCGAGCGTCTAGCGCTCAGTCGCCACGGCTGTATTTCATATCACCCTAAGTCCTAATCAGACTACTACTGACCTCATCTCTCACAGTCAAACTGGGCGGTTACACAGTTCTAACTTCTCACAGTCAAACTGGGCAGTTACACAGTTCTAACCACTCACAGTCAAACTGGGCGGTTACACAGTTCTTTCTCACCTCTCATAGTCAAACTGGGCGGTTACACAGTTCTAACCTCTCACAGTCAAACTGGGCGGTTACACAGTTCTTTCTCACCTCTCACAGTCAAACTGGGCGGTAACACAGTTCTAACCTCTCACAGTCAAACTGGGCGGTTACACAGTTCTCACCTCTCACAGTCAAACTGGGCAGTTCATAGTTCTCACCTCTCACAGTCAAACTGGGCGGTTACACAGTTCTCACCTCTCACAGTCAAACTGGGCAGTTCACAGTTCTCACCTCTCACAGTCAAACTGGGCGGTTACACAGTTCTCACCTCTCACAGTCAAACTGGGCAGTTACACAGTTCTTTCTCACCTCTCCCAGTCAAACTGGGCGGTAACACAGTTCTAACCTCTCACAGTCAAACTGGGCGGTTACACAGTTCTCACCTCTCACAGTCAAACTGGGCAGTTCACAGTTCTCACCTCTCACAGTCAAACTGGGCGGTTACACAGTTCTCACCTCTCACAGTCAAACTGGGCCGTTTCTGGGTAAACCGCTGACTCCAGTAAAAACTTAATGACTGCGATATTTCCCGTTCTAGACGCCACCATAAGGGGCGTGCTGCCTGTGCTGTTTCTCAAGTGATGGTCGAACCTAGGCTGAAATATCAACGTCTTTGACAATTAGTGTACACTAACAATCACAGAACTGTCATACTTTAGGCTAGGAGTCGTCGTGGTGTAGTGGATAGACGTTCGCCTGTGAATCAGAAGGTTGTGGGTTCGGGTCCTGACGAAACCGGGCTTTCTTAAAGAATATCCTTGGCTCTCAGGTCGACCCGAGCCTTGAGTGGGTACCAGGTGCAGTCCGGGAAGTAAAGGCGGCCGGCGTGATGTTGACTACATCAGCCACCAAGTGCCGATTAGTCTATAAAATATAGATATAGCTCTTTATGTCCAACAGGACTGACGGCGTGGAAAAAGGATTCTTTACTTTTTCTTTTACTTTTACTTTACTTTTACATACTTTTAGCTAAACAAATACCTTACTATTTGGCCACATTTAGCCAGCGGGCAGACAGTTAAACAATGCTAGCCTGACTAAGGCTAGTTAGTATTCTCCTCCCTCAAGACGCTTCTCCACCCGAAGCCGTTCTAGCTTCTATAATTATACTTCTCTAATGCACGCGAATGCCGTAATGCCGGGTTCTATCCCAGGTGCGGACGGTTTTTCTTGCGCTAGTTTCGACAGTGGTACCGAGAGCTGACCGTTTAGTGGGAACGGCAAACTTCTGAACGTAAAATTTTCCCAGAAAAACCACATCAGCCAATAAATGCAAGGGTTGGTTCTGCAACGTCCCATACAGGATACGCAACTAGCTCATTAATACAGGCGAAAATCCACAGTATTTACTGTGAATCAGCTCACTAAAATAGTCTTTAAAACAACAAAAAGAAAGAAAGAATCAGCTGTCCCAGTAGGGTGAATTAAAAACGAATATAAAGAACTTTGTTCTAAGCCTTCAGGCGTACTAGGCATATAAGGCTAGGCCTATAATTTATAGACCAATCGGCACTCGGTAGGTGATATGGTCAACATCACGTAGACCGCCTTGACGTCACAGGACTCTACCCGATACCCACTTAAGTCTGGGTCGACTTGGGAGCTCAGGCCATTAAAAAAAAAAAAAAAATTCGGTTTTGCCAGCGCCTGAACCCAAGACCTCGGGGGCGGGGTCTGGTGGTGGTACGTGAGGAACATTTTTTATCATGACCCCTAATGTATACACATATTTAAAAACATATTTGTTGCTATTTGGTCACTCTACCCCCCCCCCCCCCCCCCCCATCATCCCACTGATGACAGCTGGGGCGGTACGCACCCCTTTCCTATACCACTGGGGGTGGGTGGGGGAGGGGGAGGTGTAGACATACTGGTCTCCTAACAACTAAATTCCTCCCCCCTCCTCCCCCCCCCCAAAGTTGATTAATTAAATGTTTTCTAAAATTGAATATGTTTGCCCCAAAGCACAGATATCGCAGCTTAACTGTCACCACAGCACGATATCACAGCCACGTGTTGCAGGGCGAAACAAAGGAGAAAAAGAATAAGAGGAATCAGATGAAGAAAAGAAGAAGAAGAAGAAGAAGCGAAGAAGAAGGAAGAAGAAGAAAAAGAAGAAGAAGAAAGCACAAAGAAGAAGCAGAGAAGAAGAAGAAGCATAGAAGAAGAAGAAGAAGAAGAAAGAAGAAGAGAAAAGAAGAAGAAGAAGTACTTGAAGAAGAAGAAGAAGAAGAGAAGAAGAAGAAGAAGAAGAAGAAGAAGAAGAAGAAGAAGAAGAAGAAGAAAAAGAAGAAGAAGAAGAAGAAGAAGAAGAAGAAGAAGAAGAAGAAGAAGAAGAAGAAGAAGAAGAAGAAGAAGAAGAAGAAGAAGAAGAAGAAGAAGAAATGACCACTGACCAGCCAAAGTTTCCGTAAAACACACTGTGCCTTTCTGGAACCGTCCTCGATGCAAGTCATGATTTGAAGGGTATGTTGCCTTCGGTGTGTCTCTAAGGCTACTTGGATCCCCTCGTACTGGGGGCAGGTCAGAAGTTTGCCCTCTCTGTCGACAACTGATGTGGATGCGCCATGTGACAGCAGTAACTTGACTATATGACTGAAACCTAATGGGGTTTCACAAAAACACATATTTTAGATTAAAATCATCAATGATAATCAAAACGTGGAGTACAACACGCACACAGGTACGCACATATACGCACATGAACCGCACTAGGAACTAAGCTTAAAGGGCACCGGAATCTGGATAGTCAGGTACCTTGAGTCATCCTGCCGTCCTCCTCCACCCCCCCCCCGGGAAATTTAAAAAAGAACTAAGCGCCTTTACCTCTCTAGCCAACGTATAAAAGTTGATCATTTAGTATTTGTCAGCATTTCATATTATGTAAATTATATTATTATTTTTATATGACATTCAGGTAGCTATTGTTACACGAGGTTCACACTCCCTCCCCACCCCCCAAACCGGCGGTTCCCCTAGAAAATTATTACAATGGAGAGTGAATAAACACCCCTCCTCCTCCTTCCCGCCCCCTTTTCCATGATTCTGGTCATGGGCGCCCGCAGAAATTTTTTTTTGGGGGGGGGGCAGAATATTTTTAGTTATGTTTTAATGTAGTTTTAATTAACTGTAGCGTATTTGTATGGTGAACGAAACGGACAGGACACTGTAGTAATGAAGGGCATACGGTAGCAACAAATTTTTTATTAACACAATATATGTATAGAACAAGAACTGGAGCCGTCTGTTATCGCTACCAAATATATCTACAATTTTGTCCATAAAGTCTTTTTTTTGTTGCAGTTCACTTTGTCTCTGTGTACGCTTAACATGCACAATCCAGACAGACGTTCATCTGACATTGTAGATCTAAGCCATGTTTTTACTCGACGTAATGTGCTGATCGATCGCTTCACCGTGCATGTTGTTGCTGGTAATGTTAGCAAAACTAGTAAGGCATACCTGACACTCGGATAAAACTTTGTAAAAGGTAACAAGTCGATGAAATCTTGGCTACTTTTGTATTCTCGCGTTTTCCAAAAATCAAACCAGCTCAAGGCTTCAGTTTCAAAATTATCAATGTGGTATATCTGAATAATAGTAGACATTATATCCTTTGAACTGTTGACGATTCAGTTTGCACAATTTTGAAGGATGTAGCAACGCTAAGTTAAACTGTGCACTGTTGGCTTGACAAAATCGACTCTCCATTGAGTTAATTAGAGAATCTAAGTATGGAATGTAAACTGTTTGTCTGAAGTACTCTTCAACACTTATGGTTCCCGGATTACTTCGATGCTTTTATCTTCCACACTGTCTTGGAATAATCAGTTCAATATCCACTTTCTGTGCGAGTTGTACTGTTTTCTCAAACATATCCATGAAATAGTTATCGGAATCACCTCGGTGAAGTTTTACTACACTGAGCAGGTTTTGAACTTGCAGTTGGACTTCTGGAAGATCAACTTAAACAGCTAGAAGAGCCTGAGTAACTGGTTCCAGTATGGCAGAGTACTGCGAAATAATATTGAGACAAAATAAAAACGTGCTGGACTTTGATGAACAATATAACTGATGTGCAGCCTGTCGTGTATTTCCACTTGCATGCAATGAAAATTCTTCCAGTTGACAATAAATATCTTCAAATTTACTAAAAAAAATCCGAATACTTTTATACTTGCTTGTCCATCTTGTCTCACACAGAAGAGGAATATTTGGGACAGAGGACCTCCTATTTGGGCTTTCACGAAAAAAAAATGTAATAATTGCTTTTGATAGTACCAATAGTATTTCGTTATCACTGCAACATTATTAAGATCATTTACTACGAGATTCAGTCTATGCGAGGCACAGTGAACAAATGCAGCCTTGGGGTAGATACTTCGAATTTTTGCCTGAACACCATTTTCTTTTCCGGCCATTGTCGAGCACCCATCATAACCTTGACCCAGCAGATTATTAAGGAGAAGACCAAATGTTTTGCAATGTTGAATAATACAATCAGATATCGTGGCGGCGTCCATACCTTTCAGTGGAGAAAATCCAAGGATTTCCTCACGAATCATAGCCTTCTCACTAGACGTATCTACAAACCAGACTCCCAGTGATAACTGTTCTGCTCCTAAGATATCTGCTGTTTCATCGGCTATGATCAAGAATCCAACAGCATTGTTAGCAGCTTTTACAATGTCTTCTCGTAGAGCTTGTTCAGACAAATTAATCAAACCATTCTGCGTTCGGTGTGATGTGTAACATGCATTTCCAGCAGCTGTATCAAAATGGTTTTTTCAAACACTGTCTCCTCCCTCAATTCGATACGCATAAAGTTGTTCGACATTTCATTTGGTGCTATCTTTCCCACGAATTGCCAAATCATTTGGCCTGCAAAATAAGATTGTTGAAATAATAGGATACAGTTTCTTTCTGTTTTCTTCAAAAATTCGTTTTACAGAATTATCTATCTGACAAATCATATCCTTATTTGGATCTCTAATGGTTGAGGTGAAGTGTTCAGCATCTTGTTGAGACCCACGATGCCATGCTGAGCTGGTATGGTTTCTGGCCCATTCATTAAAATCGTTGTACTTTGTACAAGGAGTAGTAATGAAGGTACCTTGAATTCCTCTTTGAACTGGTTGTGCGGAAATAAAACACAGAAAATGCAAAAAGCACCTTTAAATTCACCTAGGTGAATATGATAACCAGGGAGTATACTGGGTTAGCCAAGATTCCCTGAAACAACGTTTTCCACTTCCTGACATGTCGCCTTCAAAATCATATGACAGGTGAGGCTTGTATGGATCAGTTAGCAAACTATACTTAAGCTTAAGATCGATAGGAATCTCCGTAGTAGATTTTACAGAGTCCAATGTCATAGGTTAACCTAGTATCTCCACTTTCAAGCTCGTCAGGGTCTGGTTCTGGTGATAGCGTTGCTGCTGTAGATGAACAAGCAACAGCATCCGTTTTCAGTTTTTTACAGACAGGAGTTAACGTCATTTCTTCAACATCTGGAGTCGATTGATGTGGCTGTCTGAGAGGTTTTAAAAATTTAAATCCGGTGGGGGGGGGGGGGGGAAGGGAAGTGCCCCCCTTGCTCCCCTTGCCCCCCCCCCCTGTGGGCGCCCATGATTCTGGTATACACGCGTGTGTCTGCTTAGCATTTCTGACGTGGAAGCAACTGATGTAGCGTGAATAAATTCTCCCGTGGGTCAACAGCAAAAAACGGTTGTCCGAGCCTCTCTATGAATTCTCTATTTTTTTTTACAATTTTCAGGCGCGTGTGTGTGTGCGTGTGTGTGTGTGTGTGTGTGTGTGTGTTGTGTGTGTGTCTGTATGTGTATGTTTTGATTCTCAAGCGTCTTTCTCTGGTTATACATCAAACTTTGGGCAAACTTTGGGACGTGTACCTATCATCATCACCAAGTGTTTAGGCGACATACAAAGGGGATCCCACAATCCCCTGTCTCCATAAAGGTGAAAACACAATACAAAAGGTCTCAGTGAACTGCGGTGAAAGTAAAAGCGTTCTTTCACAAACCAGAATAACAAACCATAGCCACAAGCTATAAATAATGCTCTCCGTCCCTGGAGAGTTGTTGTTTTACAGTAATAAATTGCTGCATCAACGATCATTGCAGTAATGAGTGGCTAACACATAAATGTTAAATGTGAGAGTCAGAGAGAGAAATATAGATAGACAGACAGAGAGAGAGACAGAGAGAGAGAGATAGAGAGATAGAGAGAGATAGAGAGATAGAGAGATAGAGAGTGAGAGATAGAGAGATAGAGAGAGAAAGATAGAGAGAGAAAGATAGAGAGAGACAGAGAGAGATAGAGAGATAGAGAGAGATAGAGAGAGATAGAAAGAGAGAGACAGAGGGAGAGAGATAGAGAGAGAGACAGAGGGAGAGAGAGATAGAGAGAGAGATAGAGAGAGACAGAGAGATAGAGAGAGATAGAGAGATAGAGAGATAGAGAGAGATAGAGAGAGATAGAGAGGGATAGAGAGAGATAGAGAGAGACAGAGAGAGATAGAAAGAGAGAGAGAGAGGGAGAGACAGAGAGATAGAGAGACAGAGAGAGATATAGAGGGAGACAGAGATAGAGATAGAGAGAGATAGAGAGAGATAGAGAGAGATATAGAAAGACAGAGAGAGACAGAGAGAGTCAGAGAGAGATAGAGATAGAGAGAGATAGAGAGAGATAGAGAGATAGAGAGAGATAGAGAGACAGACAGAGAGAGACAGAGATAGATAGAGAGAGAGAAGAGAGATAGAGAGAGATAGAGAGAAATAGAGAGAGATAGAGAGAGACAGAGAGAGAAAGAGAGACAGAGAGAGACAGAGAGAGAGATAGAGACAGAGAGATAGTGGATAGTCTAGCGGCTTGCACCATTACCTGCTAACCTGGTGTTCATGTGTTCCAACCCACTCGGGGTGGCGTTTTAACAAAGCAGCACCTGACCTGGACGTCCATGTTCGATGTAGTCTAAAACTGTTCTCAGTCAAC